CACCATACTTTAAGCCAGACATTGTGGCACATGCTTATAATGCTAAGTAAAAGACTGAGGTTGGAGGACAGCATTTAGTTGAGACCAGCCTAGATTATAGAGTAAGACCCTATATAACAAAAAATGTTTCTAGGGGCTGGAGAGATGGCTCAGTGGTTAAGAGCATTCACTGCTCTTGTAGAGGACCCGGGTTCAATTCCCAGGACCCACATGGCGGCTATGAACCGTCCTTAACTCCAGTTCCAGGGGAATCTGAAGCCCTCTTCTGACCTCCATGACATTGCAAGACATGGGTGCACTCACATACATGCAGGCAATACACTTATACACATAAAATAAAAATAACAAAATATTTAAAAAGTTTCTAATGGGGCTGGAGAGATGGCTCAGTGGTTAAGAGTGCTTGCTGTTTCAAGTTCAGTTCCCAGCACTCTACCACTGGCCTATATCCCTTATAATTTGGAAATCACATTTTGACATTTTTCCCTATTGTCATTAGTCCTTCACAAAGTTCTGACTCACAGAGGCCTCTTAGTAAAGACTCTTAGGTAAGGCTCTTCTTAGTAGACTTCACTATTGGGTAATAATGGCCTCTCCAGAACTCACACACACTTGAAAGATATGTATGCTTCTGCTGCCAAAGTTAACCCAACGCTAAGTAGCAGAAGGCAATTCTGCAACCAACTCAAGGTAAATTAGGACAGAAGAATACTTTGTACTGGGTCACACAAAAACAAGGAAAGAAAGAGACAACAACTGGCAATATCACAGCACACCAAGAAACTGGAATTGGGGTCTGGCTGCTCATTTTTATAAATAATTCATGAGTTTGGTCATTGAACCCATAGTTTCCTTTCATTGTAAGATCACTGATTATATAAGGCTTCTTATAAGTCTGATAAAGTCAACTCAGCAGCAACACACACTAACCCACCCAAATAAAAATTTCCCAAAGTTAACTACTCTAACAGAAAGGAACATGGTGGGATGCAGATAGGGAAAAAGAAAAGGATGGTGGCTATGAGAATTAAAAACAAAACAAAACAAAAACAAACAAAAAAAACCCCAGAACTCTGCAGCAGCCTGCCCACAGGGCTGATCTCAGGTTGTCAGGCTTGGCGGTAAGCACCTTTGCCTACTGAGCCATCTCACCAGGTCAGAACTAAGAACATTTCTTTCAGTACCAAATATCTGCTTGAATGAGGTAGTTTTGCTATAAAAAGCCAGAATAAAACCATCAAGGCAAAGGAATATTCTGCACTTTCAGAATTAGGTGAGTGACTCTTCCTCCCCCCAAACCTTCTAAGGAACTCATTTGCTGACTTCTTTTGACCAAAGAGTATTTGTCACTTGAGATCCCACAACTATATGTTCAACCTATTCTCCAAATCCCCAATCTAGCCACTGAGAGGCTCTGCACTCTTAAGGGAGTTTCCCAAACTGTTCATGAGGGCTTGTCCTTCTTTGTACCTTCCTTTAAAAGTTCGAGAAAAAGATGGCACATCTGGACAGATATATGTTATCTGCTTTTCTGTCTCCCACATCCACTCTACCAGCTTCTACTAACAGAATTTTGATGAACAGAAAGCTTGAGGGAAGAGATTTGTCTCTTTTCTTCTTTTATAATGTGTATGAGTGCTTTGCTTCCATGTAGGTAAGTGTACCTCTGGATGCCATGCCAGCAATGGCCAGAAAAAGGCAGCAGATGCCCTGCAAATGGGAGTTTCACATGGTTGTTAGCCACCATGTGGGTGCTGGAACTGAACCTGGGTCCTCTACAAGAGCAGCCAGTGATCTTAACCACTGAGCCATCTCTCCAGGGCTCTTTTGGCTTTTTAAAACAGGCTCTCATACAGCCTAGGCTGGCCTTGAACTTGCTATGTAACCAAGGATGACCTTGAACTGATCTTCCAGTTTTCATCTCCCAAGTGCTGAGATTACAGGTGTGAGATACATGTCTAGCAAAGCATCTTACCTTTAAAGAATTTGTAGGCTAACTTCTCAGAACAGAGAAAATCTTAGATCTGGGGTGCTAATTATGGAAGTGTTCATTTGGAAAAATTCAGTGCATCATATTTTTCATATACATGCATTTTCTGTTACATTATAATTCAGTGAAAAGCTTTTCAAAAAGTTTAACAATTTGAATGTTACTATGAGAAAAAAATATTGGCAAACTGGAATTCAAATAAGGGATTAGTCATTATGAGCAATACTTTTTTTTTTTTTTTTTTTTTTGGTCTTTTTGAGACAGGGTCTCCCTGCAGCACCAGCTGACCTGGAACTCACAGAGCTCCACCTGGCTCTTCCTCCCAAGTGCTGGGATTAAAGCCATGCACCACCATGCCTGGCGAGCAATACAATTCTAATAAGTAACATGCATTAAGTAATTATTGTAAGCCAGGGACTATGCTAAATAAGAATTTTATATTTTGCCAGGCTTGGTGGTGCACGCCTTTAATCCCAGCACTCAGACAGTGCAACTCAAGACACTTGAAAAGCAACAACAAATGAATCCTAAACCCAGCAGCCAAGAAGAAATAAAAAAAAAAAAGGGAGAAAAAAAAAAAAAAAAAAAAAAAAAAACAAAAAAAAAAAAAAAAAAAAGGATTTTATATTTCATACTCTTAGCATGCTGGCTAAGCCATCCAGTTTATCTGCAACATTTGTCATCACATTTAATTACACCTCCTTGAAATGCCTTCTTTTCCATTCTAGACCAACAAGCTCTGGTTTTTCTTCTCTCACTATCCACCTCTCAGTCACATTTTATTTATTTATTTTTATTTTATGTGTATGAGTGAATTGCCTGCATGTATGTAAGTGCAACCATGTTGTGCAATGCTTGTGGAGGACAGAAGGGAGTTGTCAAATCCCGTGGAACGGGAGTTACAGATGGCTGTTAGCCAACATGTGGGTGCTGAAATTCGAACCCAGGTCTTCTGCAAGAATAATCAGTCTTAACCGCTGAGCCATCTCCCCAGTTCCCTCCTCCCTGCATTTTAAAAATGAAATAGTGTAAGGCTCAGCTCCTCCAACTCCACTCTCTGCAGGAACTATTATCTCCATTTATCAAATGAAAGGTACAAAGAGAGTCAGACTAGGCAATCAAGACTTGGGGGCTGTGCTTTTAACCTCCTCACCATTCCACCTTTTTGGTCTTCTCCATAAGAGGCAAGGCAGTCTACATTCTAATGCCTGCAGTAGCTGAGGAAAGAGATGCAGTGGGGCACACGGGAGACTCCTCTAGAAAGTACTAAGGACTAATACCAGGCACCAAGCCAACAGAGTATTGGTCAATACTCCTCTTGCAAACTGTTAAACAAATTTCCTTCCTAAGTTTCTTCACTTTACACTTTAGTACTTACTTCTCCATGAGGAATGTGAAAATATTCTAGAATAAAAATTATCAAATCTAGATGCTTAGTAGAGATTTTTTAACATTTTTTATTTATTATTATTAGGAGGAGGCTGCATGCCACACAGCACGGGTATAAAGGTCAGGGGACTACTTTTGGGAGTTGGTTCTCTTTAGGAGAGCTTAAAAGAATACAGATGGGGGTTGAGGGGAGGGTTGCAGATAGATGGCTCAGAGGGTAAAGGCACTTGCCACCGAGTCTGATGACCTGAGTTTAATCCCTAAAACTCACAAGGTAGGAGTAAAGAACTGACTCGCACAAGGTATCCTCTGACTTCCCTATGTGTCATGGTGTTACATGTACACACATACACACACACACACACACACACTCTCTCTCTCTCTCTCTCTCTCTCTCAATCAATCAATCAATCAATCAAACAAGCAATGTAAATAAAATAATACAGATGTGGGCCAGTGAGATGGCTTCAGAGGTTAAAGGCACTTACTGCAAAAGTCTAAAAACCTAAGTTCAATTTCTGAAAGCCTTGTAGAGGTGGAAGAAGAGAAGTGACTCCCCTAACTTATACTCTGACTTCTACATATGTACTGTGGCACAAGTGCACACACATACACATATACATCATGTACACACACAACAACAATAAATGCAAATTTAAAAACTGGGCTAAGGAGATGACTCATTGGTTAATGGTACATGCTGCCAAGCCTGATAACCTGAGCTCCATTTCCAGAACACGGTAGAAGGAGAGACTCAACTCCCACAAGTTGTCCTCTGACCTCCATATGAAGCTGTGGTGTACATGTACACACACACACAGACACACACACACAAATAAAAAACAAAATTAAATGCAAAAAATTTTAAAGACTGGGGAAAAAAGAATACAAATGGGGGGGGCAATGTGGTAATGTGGTGATGTGGTGGTGCACACTCAGGAGGTGGAGACAGAGGGTATGTATTCCAGTTCAAAGTCAGCCTGACTACACAGCAAGACCTTGTCTCAACAAAACAAAGAACATAAATGAGACTCTCCAGACCTGTTCAACCTAGATTCCAAGAATCTGTTTTCAAGAACTCAAGCATATTCTGAAGCTCCGAACTTGGTATTCTGAATTTGGAAAGTCTTTTAGAGAGAATTCTTTGACCTTCCAAGACCACTACATATTGATCTGCTCAGCAGAGGCTGGAAATGAAATGAGAATGGAGATTTGTAAACTGATTCCAATAAGTAACAAGAAGAATCTGGAAACTAGAGCAGTGAGTGTGGAATTCCAGATCAGGACAACAAACCTCCCCAGGTGGTCTGAAAATCTATTGCCAGAAAAGAGGCTGCAGTCAAGCCATGTCATCCCTTAACTTCAAAAGGAGAAACCCAGAGGGCAAGAACCAATTTTACATTTGAACACTCATATTCTCAGGGACACACCAAATATTATAAGGAAATATAAGATAAGATTCTATGAACTATGGCCATTTCCCAAGGCATTATTAACACTGGCACTTGGGCATAAATATAAATGCACATGCATTTTACCTGCACACACAAGTAACAAATGTAATCATAAATGCTGAAACAAAGGCAAAGAAGCTACTTCAACACACTTAGTGAATTCATACCTCTGTAAGTGCATGCAATTGTCCTTGATGTACACACACACCCATGAACCTGAAAAAAAAATAGATTTTTTTCAAACAAAATGAACAGGAAATGAATACAGTTTCATATAGAAAAAACTAGTTGAGTTACCTAGGTATAAGAAACAATACAATACTTGTGAAGTCCCTAGATTCTTATATGATACTGTACCTTCTGAATCTTGAATAAAATCCCACACTGGGGCCAGTGAGATGGCTCAATAGGTAAAGGTGCGTTCCACCAAGTAGGATGACATGAAGTGAAACCCTGGGACCCACATGTTAGAGAGAACCAACTCCCATAGTTTTGTCCTCTGACCTCCACATGCACACCATGGTGCATGTGCACACACACACACACACACACACACACACACACCACACACACAAACAAATGTAACATAAAAATTTAAGATGCCAGACTGATAAATTTCTGAAGTTTACCATGAGATATTTTGTTACAGCAATACCTAGTGGTAAAAAGCAATGTGTAAGGGTGGAAGAGGGAGATACTAAGCCTTTAAAGTAGCATGGTGGGGCTGGGGCTGTAGCTCAGTGGTATAGCACTTGACTAGATTCAATTTCCCAATATGGCCAGGAAAAAAAAAAAAAAGGATATCTTTACTTGAGGTTGCCTTGATAATTTTTTTTAATTCTTAAATTATTTTTATTTTATGTGTATGTGTGTATTGGCTGCATGTAGGTAAGTGTACCCATGTCATGCAATGCCTGTGGAGGAGAGGAGGCTGTCAGAACCCCTGGGACTGGAGTTATGGACAGTTGTTAGCTGCCATGTGGGTGCTGGGATTCAAACCCAGGTCTTCTGCAAGAACAACTAGTGTTCTTAACCACTGAGCCATCTCTCCAGACCCTGTGCCTTGACAATTCTTTAAGGCTGATGATATAGATCAATGGTAAGGCAACTGCCTAGTACAACCAAGGTCCTGGGTTCAATCCCCAGTTCCTTAAAATACATAAATAAGGAAGCCAACAAACATATAATTTCCAAAGTAATTAAAACAGCATGATATAATGGCAAAGGCCTCAAATTGAAGAGTTTTTTTTGAGAGGGAAGGGAATGAGACAGAGTGTCATCCAGGTTTATTTGGAACTCAGCTAGCCAGAAACTCATCCTGCCTCAGCTTCCCAGTGCTGGGATTACAGGAGTGAGTCACTGGCTTTGTCATCTGCTTCTAACCTTATTATAACCTTCTAACCATATCACTCTTGTAACTTTCCTCATGGCAGATGATTCAGTTTTGGATCTCTCTGCATTTCTGGTACCTAGTACAGTGTATGTCATGCAGCAAATTCTAAGATTTACTGAATAATGAATGTGAGTTTTTTTGTTTGCTTGTTTGTTTGAGACAAGGTCTCATTGTATAGTCCTGCCTAGATTGGAAGTTGCTATATAGACCAGGCTGGCCCCAAACTCACCTAGTCTGCCTGCCTCTGCCTCCCGAGTACTGGGATTAAATGGGATTAAACCATTCTTGCCCAGTGTGAATGAATGTTTTTTAAGATCTAGAAATATAGGCTGGGTGTGGTTGGTGCATGCCTTTAATCCCAGCACTTCGGAGGCAGAGGCAGGCGGATCTCTTGTGAGTTCAAGGCCAGTCTGGTCTACAAAGTGAGTTCTGGCCAGCTGGGGCTACAGGGAGACCCTGTCTCAAAAAGACCAAAATGAAAAAAAGAAAGAAAGAAAGAGAGAGAGAGAGAGAGAGAAAGAAAGAAAGAAAGAAAGAAAGAAAGAAAGAAAGGGAGAGAAAAAAAGATAAAAAAAACCTAGAAATTTATTAATAGGTGAAGTGCTTTTCTTAAGTTGGAATATTACATGTACTGAAAATCATCCTTCCAAGATCAGCTAAAATGTCACATTTGTGTTAAGGCCTATCGGGTCAAGTTATTGTCCCCAGATGTCCCTCAATGCAAGTTCATCCACTGAGGTCTAGTCAGCATATCTAGATTTCCTCCCTTTAAGATAACCAAAAAAAAAAAAGAAAGAAAGAAAAAAAATCACTTTCTCTGTATGGGATCCCATTAATGCCATTAATGCCCAAGGTTATTAGCATAATAAGCCTTTCCAGATCTTCCACTAGCACTTTTCACTTTTCTTTGAATGACTACTGATTAGCATTAAGTAAAGTCATCTGGGCCTAGAGAGAAACTTAAATTTGAATCCAGGCTGTTATATTCTGACTTCTATGGGCATTGCATGACTTGGGTGCATTTACACTCATACACATAAAATAAAAATAAATGAAATACTTTTTTTAAAAAAAGATGCAGGACATTTTAAGGGGAGGTAAAGCATTCCATCCTGCAGAAAGTCCCTGAAACCAACCAGATTCACTATGTCCCTTCCTTCCCAAGCATATATAAGTCCTAAGGACTGTTGAGAAACACTCTCAGACAAACTGAACTGCCTATAAGAGGTTCAGACCAGGCAAATCACCTGGAGGAAACAGAGACCAGCAGAGCTGCCTGGAAGAGGCAGAGGCTAACTGAGCTGCCTGCAAGAAACACTCTCCAATCTGTTGAGCTGCCTGCAAGTTGTGCAGTATGCTTCAAATTTACAGCTTTCATGAGCTGTCTCCCATGGGGTAGGTTTTTAGTGTTATGGCTGTCTTTGAGTCATTTCTATACTTGTAAGTAACCCCAATAAACTCATTAGTTTGCCAAGTTGGGCTTTGACGGTATCCCTACTTTGGTCTTAGGTTATCCTCTGGACTACACATCATGAGCACACACACTATCGTGTGACACTATTTCCGGGGAGACATGAACAAAACACCTATTCTTTGTTTTGTTTGTTGAGACAGGGTCTCTCCCTATAGCCCCAGATGGCCTGGAACTTGCTATGCAGACCAGGTGGCCTAGATCCCATAGAGATCCACCTGCCTCTGCCTCCCAAGTGCTGGGATTAAAGGTGTGTACCACCATGCTGGCTGGGTTCTAGGGTTTAAATTCAGGTCCTCATGCTTGCAAGGTTAAGCATTTCACCAACAGAGCTATATCCCTAGGTCTTATCCATGATTTTTTAATAGGCCAATCTTAACACATGCAAAGTAATGGCTAGGCAATCAGATCCTATCAATAGCTCTATATATGATAACAAGCGAATCAAGTCCATAGTTTAATTTTACTTTGTGAAGTAAATACAAAGATCTAATAAGTTAGAATGTCTCCTGGAACATCTGCATCAGAGAAGCCTGGCATGAATACAGAATGCAGGCACTCCCTGGCTCCTTTAAAAAGCAAAAATAGGGTTGGGGCTGGAGAAATGGCTAAGCAGTTAAGAATACTAGCTGCTCTTAGAGGACCTAGATTCAGAACCCAGATGGTAACTAACAACCATCTATAACTCCAGTTCCAGGGGATTCAATACCCTTTTCTGACCTCCGAGGGTACTGCACACATGTAGTATACATACATGCATGTAGGCAAAATACACATATACATAAAATTTTTTTAATAAATTAAAATTTTTTATCTTTTAGTCTAAGATCACTCATAAATTCATGCCAGTAATCTCAGCACTGGAGAAATTGAAGCAGTAGGACTGCCTCCATTTAAGGCCAGTCTGTTACATAGTGAGTTCTGGGGCAACCTGGGCTACATAGGACCACCCTATCTCAAAACAAACAAAAACACAAACTACCATATGAACTCACACATCAAAACAGAAAATTATAGAGAAAAATAAAACTTCAATTTAATGTGGATATGTCATGTACTTTTTGTAGTACTGGGGATCAAACCACTAAGCTACTGAGTTGTACCCCCAGAATTATTATTTTTCACTGCTTGCCACATATATACTAAGCACAGGACCAGCAAAGGGGACATAGGGTTACAGGAATAGACATGATCATCCCTTCTTCAAAGAATATAGACAAGCATGATGGTGATGTAGAACATTTGCTGAGCACTTAAGAATGGAATGTGCCAAACACAAAACAAGCATGGGGGCCTATACATGCATTCAGGAGGCAGAGACAGGAGGATTTCTAGTCCAAGCTTACCATGGGCTACACAAACCCTGTCTCAGAACTGAGGGGAAAAAAACGATGGCCCATACACAAACTTGCATAATCCCTACTTCATTCAATCTCTTTGAAAACATTTATAGTAAATACTCAATATTATTATCTTCATTTTACAGATAAGGAAACTGAAGACAAATGATTTGCCCAAGGGCATGCAACTAGCAAATGGCAGAGGTTTTTTTTGTTAGTTTTTGCTTTACTGCTTGTTACATATACATTAAGCACCATTCAGGGGGATAAAAGAAACTGTAGAAAAAAAACATGCTCACTCCTCAAGGAATTCACAAACAAGACCAGTGATGATGTAGAACATTCAGAGCAGTTCAGGACACCAGTCTGGGCTGGACTTGAACTCAATCTGTAGCTCAGAATGATCCTGAACTGATCCTCCTGTCCACTGCCTGATGGCTGGGATGTGCCACCATGTCTGGTTTATGTGGTGCAGGGGATCAAGTTCAGGGCCTTTTACATGTCAGATAAGCACTTTACCAACTGAGCTACACTCCTAGCCTACCTCAGATTCTTTCTTCCTCTTTTTGTTCTTACGAAATTGTGTTTATTTATTTATAGTTTGGGGCAAGAAGAGGTACCCATGTGGAGGTCAGAAAACAATTAATAGGAGACATTTCCCTGCTTCCACCATGTGGGTCCCGAAGATAAAACTCTGGGTGTCAGGCTTGGCGGCAGGCACTGAATCATCTCATCAGCCCGTGTCAAATACTTCCTTTTTTCTTTTCTTCTTTTCTTTTTAAAAAATATTTTATTCATTATTTTTATTTTGTATGTCTATTACTTGCATGTATGAAAGTGTACTTGCATGTATGTAAATGCACAGAGTCAGAAGAGGGTGCTGGATCCCCTGGAACTGGAGTTACGGATAGATGTTAGGTGCCATGTGGGTGTTGGAAATTGAACGCAGGTCCTCTGTAAGAGCAGCCAGTGCTTTTAACCACTGAGACATTTCTCCAGGCCCCCTCTTTTT